ACATACATACATACATACATACATACATACATACATACATACATACATACATACATACATACATACATACATACATACATTACATACATACATACATACATACATACATACATACATACATACATACATACATACATACATACATTACATACATACATACATACATACATACATACATACATACATACATACATACATACATACATACATACATACATACATACATACATACATACATACATACATACATACATACATACATACATACATACATACATACATACATACATACATACATACATACATACATACATACATACATACATACATACATACATACATACATACATACATACATACATACATACATACATACATACATACATACATACATACATACATACATACATACATACATACATACATACATACATACATACATACATACATACATACATACATACATACATACATACATACATACATACATACATACATACATACATACATACATACATACATACATACATACATACATACATACATACATACATACATACATACATACATACATACATACATACATACATACATACATACATACATACATACATACATACATACATACATACATTACATTACATTACATTACATTACATTACATTACATTACATTACATTACATTACATTACATTACATTACATTACATTACATTACATTACATTACATTACATTACATTACATTCATACATACATACATACATACAGACATACATACATACATTACATACATACATACATACATACATACATACATACATACATGCATACATACATTCATTCATTCATTCATTCATTCATTCATTCATTCATTCATTCATTCATTCATTCATTCATTCATTCATTCATTCATTCATTCATTCATTGCATACATACGTACATGCATGCAGTACATTACATTACATTTCATTACATTGCATTACATTACACTACACTACACTACACTACACTACACTACACTACATCACACTACATTACACTACATTATATTACACTACATTGCATTGCATTGCATTACATTACATTACATTACACTAGAATACATTACATATATACATTTCTACATATATACATATATATATATATTGTGTTTGATGTATCTATATATATATATATCTATACACATATACATACAAATGCACATACATATCACATCAAGGTACGAGGACATCATGATTCGATTTCCGGCCAGTTGAACATCGGGTGTAAGGATGAATCAAGAGCACTTGCACATGACGAGGGGCGTCCAATGTAGCATGTCAGGCAGGGAGGGCATATCATGACAAAGCTCGGATGGCTCACGCTGGGGTAAACTGAACTGCCACCTAATCGTGGGAGCATACACAGATACGTGCTTTGAGCTGCATCTGGGCAATTCTACAAATGGGTGTGCGCCAAAATAGGGTACCTCTGAAAAATGAGGGGGGACCCCAAAAAAGGTACCCTCAAAAAAACACCACACCGACATGATTGCGTTTGAGCCGCGCAAATTCCATGGAAGCTGAACGCAGTCTGACGCTGCAGGATCCAATTCGATTAGCCGGCTTGATTCATTTTGCTAGTTAGCTTTTGGCGCCCCCTTTTGTGTTTGCTTTGTTGTTTGGAAATTCGGGCCTACTGCTGGGACTTGTTGTGGCCTTTCTCTCTGCGCCTTGCCCATTTGGGGGCTATGGTGCGCCTCGTTGATGCACTGGCACTATGTCCCTGCCCGGTCGGGGTTCTTATCAGAGCAACCGTGTCTGAGGGCGTTTTGAGTGCTGTGCTTTGTGTTTGTGTCCCGCTTTGTGATGGAGCATCGGGCCTTGACTCTGGAGTTTGAGGAGTCTTGCCTGATCCATGTTAACTCAGAGGGATCCTTTAAAATAAACCCAGGTGGTATCCCCAACAGCTCCTGAAACCCCTTGGAACCCCTGGAATCGTCCGAAACCCTCCCAGCTGCCCCCGTATGATACGAACCAAAGCACCGCAGAGGACCAAGCGACTCTGTGCCCGCATCGTACCCCTCCCAACTGCCCCCAAGGGCCTGAAGCCTTGGCAAAACAAATCAGCCGTCACCCGGCGGCCTTGAAATATGCACCCACCAAGCTGGCTAAAACCTTGGTTGGCTCTCTTTGAAGGACAGGGTCTGGTTACTACTCGGTTGCCAACCGAACTGGACCCAGAGAATTGTGAGAAGAACCTTTGTTGGACCCATGACAAAAAGTGTGGAAAACCAAAAGCCCAAAAGGTCGGCTATGGACGAAAAATGGCTCCCGCCGGGAAAACTAAAAAGGTCAGCTCCGGTCGATTCGCACCCGGGCCCCGGGCTGCAAGCTGCTTTGGCAGCGGCGTGCAACGGATCCTGCCCAGTGAGGCCCCGATGCAAACCATGGGGGCTGTGTGTTTGTTTGCAAGTTATGATAACAGCAAGGAAAAGACAAAAACATGAATATCAAAGAACAAATAAAGTCCCAACAACAAAACAGAAACAATATTGCACGCTTGCTTTGTTTTCTGGTTGAAAGGCAAGTCCAAGGGCCAGGACAGAAAAGCGCCCTTTGGGTCAGACTTCCGCAGGAAGGCCAAGCTATCGCACATCCCGACGTCCACAATGAGGATGGGGCGGCTGAGCAGCTTCCCCTTGCCATAGATCAGCTCCGTGGTCGGAACTGTGTTGCGGTCAAACATCTTCTTCTTGAGTGCGTCCCATTCCGCTCGGTCATACTCATCCTCCGTGTTTTGCTCAACCCAGCAGGTCCTCCTTGCACTTTGCACGTATCTCGCGGGGTGAGGAGTCATCTGATGTTTACTTTTCCCCCGTTTAAGCAAACGGCAACAGAAGCCGTCTTTGCCGCAGTCCCGCGATTCTCGCCTCAAGAAACCTGGTTTGGCTAGGAGTGGAGGGAACAAATGGACCCAACCACTTCTTGGATTCCCCATTTGTGCCATTGCCCAAAGACAAACCGTTTCTTGCGTTGGAAGGGCTTGTCATCCGGGGTTGTAGACCATCCATGGGTTCCTTTATTAAGGGAGCGAGTCTTTAACAATGGCACATTGGATTTCGGCAGATTCCCCTTGGGGGGTTGAGACAGACCATGGCTCGTCTTCAATTCCCGTTCAGGGGGTCACCAGAAAAACCCGATCCCCAGTCCCGTTCGGAATTCGCGCCTGTGAGGCCAAAAGCACACCTCACTGTGAGAGTTTGTCACTTGTCTCAATCAGGAGTTTCCCCTCGCAGAATGATTCGGCTTACGGGTCCCTTCTGGCTTCTCCTTACAAAACAAGCCCTCAAGAATTTTACCCTTCTGTCCACCAACATGGAACCCACCAGAGGAGTGCTTCCACGGGAAAATAGTCTTCCAGGACCCAGTCACATTCCATGTAGACAAGAGGGCACTCTCAACGAAAGACAGGAATATACAGGTTTCTGGCTTCATTGCGCTAGGACACTTGCCAAAAACGTGAGAAGCCCAGACAGCCCGAAATTGAGAGGACCCTTCCTGCCTTTTGTTGGGCGGGGTCTATTTTGAGATCCCCTAGCAAAATGACGGTCTCGAAAGAATGCCATGTCCTACAGTGAGTGTTGTGACTGTTGCGTCCTGCGCAAGGTGTTGGCTGGTGAAAATACATCCTTCACCACAAAGCCCAAGCAGGATACAAGTTTGCGTTTGAGTCGCCGGAAATGCTATGCTTCCCATGCCAGTCTCCGGGCCCAGGGAATTCACGCGGTTTGCCAAACCATCCGCTCGGTGCTTCGCATCCGCCAAATCCCTCGGTTCTTGGCCCGCTGGAGTTGGAACATTTGCCGCGGCGAGCTCCCCATGCCCTGTCTGCCAAGCCACGCTCCGCCTGGCAAGGGGGAGGGCCGGAGCTCGTAAGAAAGGGTGGTCGAGAAAACAACGAAAGGAGTTGCAACAAAACAGCTGAAATGCTGTTATACTGTTGAACTGGAAACAAACATGAGGTAGCAGAGGGTGTGGAATAAAGTCTCGAATGCATGGGGATAAAGACTGTAACACTGACACGTCCATGGCGATGCAACATATGTCCTCCCCCAGATCCTTTACTTGGGCAAGCACCTGCTAGTCATCCGTCAAGTTGATTCATCGGGGTCGACATGACATGCAGTTGAAGATCGCTGGAAATAGCGTGGACAAAAGCCCCAATGATGGAATCAGGCGCTGGGCTGATAAGCCTGGGCAAGCGAGAGAGGCAAGTTTGACAAAACGCCACGAGACAGTTTTCTGAAAGCATGTCAAAACAAACATCAGCTTGCCATGAATTTGTGGCTTTGGTTGGATTGAAATTTCAGTAGTTCCAACTTGGCTCTATACAACAAGCAGGAGTTCCATTCCACCCACCAATCCAAACCCATTAATTACCCTCCTTCCAACAACCATGGAAGCTGACACGACGCAGGACCGTTCTGGAAGACTACTTGACTTTTAGGTTGGCCCTCTGCCAGCTTCCGTTGTTGGAAGAAGCGAACAGGACGATGTGATATTATCTTGTCTACCTGCTGAATGGACGAATTGAGGATCACCCAATTCAGGATTCTCCACTTCCATGCTTGTTTGCAAGATTTTAACTGGTCGGTAAATGGAAACCTCCATCGTGCTCGTGCGCTCGTTGTGGGTGAACGGTCATCCCTCATTTGCGATTCGTCCCTCAAACCAGGCCGAAGAGTATGATCCCAAACCAACCCGATCCGGATGTTTCTCAAAAACGCTTGCATTTGGGTGTGTCATTTTAGGGGACCCTCCAGATGGCCTCGGTTCTGCTTTTGTTTCCCATTCAAAACCACAGAAAAAAAAGGGAATCGTTTCTTAAAAGCCATCATGTGAAGCTCACTCCCTTTCCCCTCTGAGCAAGGCGGGAGGAAACCTCCCTGAAAAAGCCACAAAAACTCCAAAACTCTTTTAAACAAATAACTCCAAAAAAATATGTCATAAAACTAAAAAAAAAAAAACGCAGCCCTTTGGCGCTTCCTCTTCCAAACCCCGTTCGATCCGCGCCTCTGCGCCCAAGCGCCGGCGCAGGGACGCCAGGCCCGAGGCGAGGCCCGAGTAGCTCTGAGTCGAATGACCGGCAGCAACGGCCAGAGACGTCCCTCCCACAAAAAAGGCCTGGGACAAGGGAAAGAGCATCACCTGGTTTTTATCTACCTAGTCTATGTATATGTGTCTATGCAAATGTTGGTGTGCATCTATGTATGTATGAATCTATGTATATAGGTATCTAGGTAACTTTGTATCTATGCACTTATTAAGCATGTATCTACGTATGTGTGTATACATGTGTCTATGTATCTGCGTACGTATGTATCTACGCAGATATGTATCCATGTTTCTATATGTATATATGTATCTATGTATCTATGTATCTATATGTCTATGTATCTAAACGTACTTGTGCATCTACGTGTCCATCGTGTCCACGCAGCTATGCATCTATCTATGTATCTATGTTTATATGTATCTGTGTATTGATGTATCTTTGTGTTGGTGTCTTTGCATATATGGTTATATGCATGTGTATACGTTTATGCAATTGTGGATGTATACATGTATTTATGTATCTATGTATCTATGTATCAATGTATATTGTGTTTTCTCAATGGTTCTATGTGTCTACGCTTTTATGTATCTATGTATCTATGCGTAGATGTATCGCCTTATCTTTGTATCTATATATATCTATATATATATGTATATATATATATATATATATGTATGTGTGTATCCATGTATATATATATATGTGCATCTGTGTAGTCGTGTACTCATGTACTTGCGTATCTATGTACCTATTGATCTACGTAGCTATCTACGTATCGGTGTTTCTACGTATCTATGCATCTACGTACGTATGTAGCTTTGTATCGTAGCTGTCTGTGTATCGATGTCTCCATGTGTCTATGTACCTAGGCATAGGTGTATCCGCGTATCGATGTATATATGTATTTATATGTGCTCTTTGTCTACGGATCTGTGTACCTACGCATCTAGGTATCCATGTACTTGTGTATATATACATATATATATATATGTATATGCATTTATGCATCTATCTACGTATCTATGTGCTCATGTATCTATGTGTTTGTGCATCTACGTATTTGTGTATCTGTGCGTTTGTGGTTCTACGCATATATGTAGAAGTCACATACAAGATTGGTGGGAGAAGAACCTGGAGAACCTGCACAGCTCCGATGCCCCAAAGGGCATCAGCTCCATCCCTAGGGAAACCTGCTCGCAACTTGGCAGGGAAAACCGGGGCAACTGAATTAACCAGAGCAACCCATGTTGGGCACTCATATTCTCCACCCACAGCCACATTTTGCAACAGTTAACTGGGTATGGCTCAAAATTAGTCAGGAGGAATTGGGCCACAGGCTTCCAGGTCCATATTCAATTTACAGGGGTGCCATGTTGGGTACCTATTCTTGACTAACAGCCAACATGTTCTACCTTGCAGGATCTGGTGGGTTGGCTGGCAAACCAATTTGATGCATAACCCTCCAAAGGAAAAAGGGGTAGCATCGGGTGTGCCTCGGCCCGGCGGAGCTTTGCGAAGGCGGCTACGTAGGCTCTAGCCTTTGTTTCCACGGGTGCGAGTTTAGGTACCGCTTTGGAGCAAATGATTTGCGCGTTTGGAAAGAGGCGATTGAATTGTTGACAAGACAAACCCGCAAAACGTGTTTGAAGGTGCCCCCACTGTGAATTGGCAAAATCCGCGCCGATTGGCACCGCTGGGGGTGAAGGAAACCCGATTTGAGCACTAACCATCAATCCCAACAGCTGCGAAGTGGATTTGTCCATCCACTAACCGATCAAAAGGACACCTATGTTCATTGTTCTCAGAAAACACGCGCCCAGCAAACGGAATGACCCTCGCCCTCCAAACATTGAACTTCCAAGAGGATACTCGTCCAAGAGGGAGGTGGAACACCGACCGACGCGATAGAACAACGACTCAAACAATGCAACACCAACTCAGAGAACGGGGGATTTTGCGGGCAAGGCGTTTTTTAGGGAACCCCTTCGCTGGGATATAGGGGAAACTAAATGAGAATGTGCATTTTGCACTTTTTACCTTGGCTTTAAGGGAACCTCAGAGGAAAACCATTTGTAGGGTCACCCTGGTTTAACGCATACATGGAGACCGCCAATTTTGGGGCCCTTGTATCCCAATCCCAGCCAGCGCCGCCTGCTCCAAGGCCGGGAGCAAGGCCTCTCGGTCCCCCCTCTCCAGGGCCAAGCTGATGGAGCCTGGGCGGGCTCCATAGCGTGTCGTTCGACCTGTTTTTTTGGGGGGGTGTTTCTTCCGGGAAACAAGTAAGGCAGAATATTGTTCGCTGGTTTTAAGGGAAACGCGTGAAACCAACAACACTCGAAACTCGAAAAAGGGTAGTGTGAACATTGAATGCGGCATCAGTTGAACAATGTGGCATTATTGGGATTCACCCTCAAGACACTGTCGTTCTTAAACTGCGGGAAGGAGGGTGGGTGGGGTTTGGGATGGTGAGCTTGCAGGGCGGGGAGGTTCTTGTCTATTGCAAATCTCCCCCTTGCAGGGACCGCGTGAGAGAACTCTTCTTCAGCATTATTCTTTACTGTGGATGGACGAAATCCTCTTCGCACCAGTTGTGCTTGATGGTTTGTGACCGCTGATCCCATCTCATACCACCCCATCCCATCCCGTCCCAATCCATCCATCCATCCCTCCCTCCCTCCCTCCCTCCCTCCCTCCGTCCGCCCGCCCGCCCGTCTGTTCGTCCGTCCGTCCGTCCGTCCGTCCCTGCATCCATCCATCCCTCCATCCGTGCGTCCGTCCCTCCCTCCCTCCCTCCCTCCCTCCATCCCTCCATCCATCCACCCAACCACCAATCGCTTTGCCCTTGATCTGCGATTTGATGCTGCCGTTGCTCCATGTTCACTAGGGAACTGATCAATGGCCACGAGATCCATACCAGCAGTGATGGTAGTGGCTTTGATACTCCAAACGTTGAAGCCCAACTTTGCAGATCAGGGTACCAACGAGCGGAACCAACAATGGTAAATATCGCCGCTGAAAATCAGCAACGTGTCCCAGCTGTTTCGATTTCTCGAAACTGGAACCAGACAGTCGAAGAAACATGTGGTGTTCGGTTTGACGATGCACGCATCGTTCCATGAGTCTTTTGCCACAGGTGAAGTGTGCAATGGGTTCGGTGGCAACACACGAGCCGAGCACCTCGCGGGTCTATGAGGAAATTAGTAGGATGTGAACTCAGAAGATTGGGTCCCAGCTTTTTGGAAATCCAATCCATGTACCAAAGTTCATGACAGTTCCTCACGGGATCGAAATCCGTGGTGGCCAAGCCAAGAGGTTGCCTAGCGGCCTCAAGGGGATGTTCCCTTGTGAGTTTGGTTATATAGTGGGTGCTACAGCGGTGGAGATCATCACGTCCAGTTTATAGGGCATCACGGTGATTCACGTCCACCAACCGCTTGTGAGGTGCCAACTCTTAAAAATCAAAGCCACGAATGAACATCGACCGAAGCCCACCAACTGCTGGCTCTACCAATATGCAAAGGTTTAGAACCGGATATCATTTTGGGTCATGTTGGGGTGTTGGGCGCTATGCGTTGTTATGTGACCCTGCGCCCAGGTTGGGACTTGATTCCAACTAGGAGCACAGGGATCAGGTAACCGAACCACTCAAATGGCCCAAACAGGGGTGTTGCTGCAGTTGAAAAGGGGGGTCGGGGGGGGGGGTTGAAGTGTCCTTTTTGGGAGCCCAAAGCCGCGAAAGGTCACATGGTTACCCCGTGGCAAGGAGGCTTTCGGCCTTCCCCCAACCTGATTTTCAATTTGTGTCACCTGCAGTCCGAGCATATACCCTGGCCCAGGCGCTCCCATCTTGACAGCTCGCATGCCAAAGGTGTGGCTCGCTCTGTTTTTGCGGGGGCACGGGGGGGGGGGGACGCTCAGGCTCGACTTTGCGAAATCCTTCCTTCTGGTTTTGAGCTTGCTTTCTTTGGCATCGTCAAGTGTCCATGGCACGCGTAGTTTTCGAAAACCACCAACCCAGGCCGCCGGGCGCAGGTGCGTCAGTACCATCCCGGCCAAAGACACCACCTGTCAGAACCCCCCCCCCAAAAAAAAAAAAAAAAGTGACAGGGGCAGACTTGTTTTTGTTTAAACATGGTCTAAACAGGGGCTGAAATACTTGACTCCGACACCCTTCTAATTGTGTAGCCCCTTATCTTACCATTGTCCCAACGAATCTTGGACGTGGACATGTTGAGGAATAGTAGTCGTCCAAAACCCTCCTGTCAGCTTCCCTGATTGTTAGAAGGAAGGGTAAAAGCTGGTATCAGGTGTGAGCCGAAATGATCTGGACTTCACGTGTGTCGCTTGGAAGGAACCCAACAGGTGTTTTGGCTGTGTGGGAGGGTCATACTGTGGCCCAAAATGGCCCACAATGGAACCCTGGTAAATGGCAACATGGAATGACACCTGCGGTTCGGTGGTTTAAGTTTGACCCATACCCACTTCTGGTTTGTATCTGAGGTCGGGTGGCCACTCAGAAGGTCGACTGCATCTATTGTTGCAGCTAGATAATTCTGTAGAGCATTGGTGAATTTGCTGAGGTGAATGATAGTTGTTACAACAACATATGGCTTTCTTGCTGGTTTTGAGGCAAAACAACATACGCATGGCCTGCCGGGGTTCGCAACAATCACTTGGTAAGCAGAGTGTTAGCATCAAAAGTCGCGCACCCTCTTGCAACCATCATGTATGACAGCCCGTGTTGATTGAATCCCGCAGAAGGTTGACCTTTTGTGCAGGTTCACTGGAGCTACTCGCGGAAGAACAAAAACTATGATGCTGATCGGCTGTGGGTGTCAAGGTTCTGGTAATGACATTCAGGAATAATGGGAACCCAGGCTTAATACGCCCATGTTTGACAAACAGGAGGCCTGCATTTAAGAGGTATTGCTTTCTGTTTAGGGAAGCACTCCCTATTTATCCATATGGTTGCCTAATCCGGGGTCGCTCCGGCCAAAGCAAGCACTGCCTTGGCCAGCCATGCGATGTCCGTACAAGGGAAACAATCAACCTGCGGCTTCCCTCCCCCTCCCTTCCCCTCCCCCGCAAAAAAAAAGCGCTGACACACAGGGGGGGAGGTGCGGGCGGGGGGGGAAGGGGTGGCAACGGCATGCCTCCGAGGAGACCCATGAGCTCGCCGCCTGGCGCGGTCTAGCGGGCAAGTTCGGCTCTGCCCACCTGCCACAGCTTCCACAGCCTCCCTTCCTGCTCAAGTTTGGGTACCAAAAACCAGGTAAAAAATCATCTATATATATATATAATATATAGATATATCTGCAAAGTATTTTTGCGGTTGATGGACTCGCTAGGGCTCACCTGCTTTTGATACCTGCCGTAAGGGTATATAGGAATATGAGCCACAGTCATTATTCAGTGTGTCCACCAGTGACATTGTATTTTTTGTGAATGAACTCAGTTTCCTACTGGCAATTTTGGTCTGTGCACGCAGTGTCATCCCCTTTGATCCCCTTTCAGTTGGTTTAAAAGCAAAAGGAAATCAGCAATGTGACCCATATCATCCCCTTTAAAGCCGACCCCTCATCAATAACCAGAATACAGGATGATTTAAACTCCAGCTTTTGGAGCGACCCAGTTGCCTTGGCGCGCCCAGATTTCCGGAGCCATGCCCCCCCGCTCGCTCCCTTTGTCGGGAAGGCTAGCAAAGTGTAGTTGGGCTCGCCTCTCTAAGATGTTCTGCCAGGCCTTAGTGGATCATGCGGCTCCCTTCCAGAAAGAACCCCCTGACCAGCTACAAACGGAGCGGGGGGGGGGTTATCAAACCAAGATCAACACGACGGACGACAACAAACAACTGATCTCCCGCACCTTCTTGCGCTTCTCCTTCTGATCCTGGACCAACCGCACGGCGATACCTCGAGAACGTTCATGACGTCCATGTCCAAGGGGAGTACTGGTGGCTTTCCTTTGGCTTCCCTGAAAAGTTTCCCTGAAAACCAGCCCCCACTCATATACGCCCCTCATATCAAGCCTTGGCGTACGTGTCAATTATGCGGTGCTTGCAGCTTCATTATGGCAAATCAGCCCCAGGGTCCCAAATGGCGATATTGGACTTTTGTTTTTTGGTTTGGTGGGAAAAGCACATGTTTCCCAGGTGAAGGTTCAAGATCCACCCAAATGGCACCTTGGGTTTCTGCAACACCAGAAGTTTGGCTGGCTATCAACTTTTAGGGGGCTGATGAACGCCTGAATATTTAGAATAGGTGTGTCTGCGTGTGGGGTTCTTTAAAGTCATTTTGCTTGTCATTCTTAGGAGAATGAGGTGGGTAATGATTTAGCCCTTCTCGCCGAACTCCTGGTTTTGTGGTGGGTCTTTTGGCTATTTCACCGTAGAAATGCCTGTGCTCATTCGTTTACCATCGTCAAAGTCACCCCAAAGTAGGTTCAAGAGAAACAACCCCCAACTACTGACTTTGATACCCCCCAGAACCAGTCAAAACTGTCTTGGGTTCACGCCCAGCGGCTTTGTTGGACTGTTTCACGGATATCCAAGGAACAAAACGCACCCCTTTGGGAGTCTTTTTTGAGGATCCCTCTTTGGGTGGTTCTCAACGGGAAACCAAAAGCAAACAACTTTTTTTGGTTCCCTATTTTAAGACACGCCCAATTTTCGAGGCTGCCCCACAAAAGTTGACGTCCAAAATCACCCAACCTGAGCTTCGGGCGCAAGACCCTTGCTTCCACCAGGGCCTGAGCGGGCGTCTCGACTTCTTGCCGTACCCTCCTACTGGTGCAGGTACCTCCCGCTAAGCAGGGGAGAGGCTACCTTCCATTGCCATTCGCGAAGGGATCCTTCTCTTCAAAAACTGGGTGTCACACCATAGCAAAGACCCTACAAGATGGCTTTTATCTTAAACAAACCAAGAGCGGAAGAAGCACCCAAATAGCTTCGTGTCAGATTCTCTTCAAAAACAAGGCAGCCCCTTCTTCGGGGGTCCTGGTTGTAATCAAAGGGGCTGAAGAATTCTTCTCCTGGGCTTCTTGCTAAGTTTGGCCGCAAGGTACCCCACACCCCCGCCCTAATTGACCCTTATATTGCACATCCGTCAGATCTCATTCGGGAACAGGCGCGGGAAGCAGCGCATAAATCAACTTGCCGGGTCTCTGGGAAGGCAAATGACCCCTATGAGCCATCCCTTGCGCGTGGCTTTTAGGAATCGGATTCCGATTCTCAGGTTCATTCCCAAAGCCTTTGCTGATTTCGTAAGAACCAGCAATCTCAAGACAATACTCAATGCAAGAACAAACCGGTTGTGGCATACGTCATTCTGAGAGCTTGCGACATACAACTATGTCAGAGAGAAGAATCTTCGTTCAGACCCCGACCAAACACAGACAGTGGGAAGCTTTAGGTTGTATGTTGCAACCATGGAGGTTGAACTCAACCGCAAAGCCCAACCGAACTATTGAAGCCAAAGTTGCAACCTCCAAAACAGAAAAGGCTCCACGAGATACTAAATGGCGAAGAACATGGCTGGTATGATTCCTAACTTGGTTTGGTGGACATCTTATTCAGCCTTTATGTCCACCAACCATTCATGAGACCCCCTTCAAACTCACACCCATGCGTGTAGCCATGTGAATGAGGATCATGTCCGCCAACCGTTCTGAATTGTTTCTCAATCGAGCAGCGCCCAAAACCCAGTAAATGTGGGTTCTACTTTCATGATTAAATAGGTATTTTGTAAAGAGGCTTTAGCACAATCCTAATCAAAACGAGTAGTAGAACCAACTACAATGGGCGCTGCTCAGTTGAAATTCATGGCCATGTCTCGCAACACTGCGATACCTTGCCTCTGCTGCATCCACAGCCTGCGGGCTCTGCAGCACACGTGATATTTTGGTTGACACGGGGTTGAGGGAGATGGGCGCCATACCGAAGCAGCAACCGGAATCACGTTTGGGCGCTGTCACCCTTTTGTGGGCTGACAAGTCTGGGAACCCTGAGGTCATGCTGACGCACTCATCAGCCTGATGGATGAAAAACTGGAGGTCCCAACATCAACCATCCCTGAGTTTATAAAGTTGTCCAGGGTCATCGTCATTGCGCTCCCAACAGGCATGGGAATTTGAGTGAGTCGCACCCCATTCCGAAGGTGCGTGTGCCCAAGGTCATCCCCCTCACAGTAGATGGTGAATAATGACAACTCCTCCATTGAACCTGCATCATTATACCATTCCAAAACCAACAAGAATTGGGCGTGTCATTTGTCAGGGGCCCCAAACGAATGGTTGGTTTCCTTTTGGTTTCCCTTTAAAACCAACCAAAACGTGGGTTCCCTATAAACGGGACACGCCCAATTGGATCCAAAGCCAACTAAAGGAGCTCGCCACTTGGAACCCGGCCTGGCCCGCCAAGGCTGCATCCTCAACACCTCGGGTGGATCGGGTGAGCGCAAAGCGAGCCACAGGTGCAGAAGCTCCAAACTGTTTGCGGTTCCTTCTTTAGGTCGGATCTGCCGCAATGGCTTCGCTTTTACCTTTTGGTTTGTCTTTAAAACCCCAAAAAGGGCCACCCGCAAAAAGAAACACCCATCTGGGGATGTATCAGAGGGAGACCCTGAACTGGTGGCTTTACCTTTTCGCTTCCCTTAAAAAGTGGCCAATCAAGGGATCCCAAACAAAGCACACTATCTGCCATCCTACCACCCCCCCCCGTTTCATCTCTCATCTCCGGCAACCTTGGCCAATCGGAGACATGCCGGCTTTTGCGATCCGTATCCTATTGACCTGGGGTTGAGATGGAGACGTCTCACAGTCTGGCTATATATATATATATATATAAACCACCAAACAGCAGTTACCTGAACCAACCGCCCCCCACCCGGAAACAAAACTGGCGCAGCCTACGGCTTTGGCCACACCTATGATTGAGCCCCCGCGCCTGTGGCAGCTAAAACCTCCGCCGGGAAGCGCGACCAAACCTTCCCCGAACCTGATTGGTGTCCTTTCGGGCTATCTTAGTGGAAAAATGTCTGGCCTGAGGACAAGTCAGGATTTATAAACTGGCGCTTGATTTGGCAGGTTACAAGGAATCCTAGACTTTTAGGGCAAGTACCCCCTCGTAAGGTTGATTCATCCGGGGTCGACATTGCTCCAAATCCCTGATTACGGCAACAATGATATTCGGCAAAAGTATGTCGGGGAAGGGGGGCTGTAGAAGGATGTGAATCAAAAGCGGTCTGGCACCACCAGGTGGCATTCACCCTCAAATGTCCAGTTTGACGTTGGGTTCATGTGACCTCACTTGACATCAATCAACCAACAGGTCTTAGTTTCGAGACATACCTCCTCTTGCCAACACTTCGCAATACGAGCAAAAACTATATTCTTGGTTTTGAAAGTCCGGGTCTGAGCTTCATTTCCGCCAAACGGGAAATGAGTTTTAATTTGGGACCCTTTGGTGGACCGTACATGGGGATGTTTGTACTCATTGCTGAATTCCTTCATAGAAAATCATAGAAAGGCCGATCCCACAACGATCTTTCTGAGGCCATTGCCACCACTTGTGGCTCCAGCGACTCGCCCGTTGCGCGAATCGGAAAACAGCAAATCAGGGCCTGCGGGTCCAAGGAGAGGATCTGGGCCGGGTAAGCCAGCTTCCAGCGAGCCTCGGACCGATTCCAATTCGGGCCTGTTTGTTTTGTTGGCTTCGCATGAAATCGGTGAAAAGCGATGGGCTCTTCTTAAAGGGGAACTCAAATGGGTGCGTCCCTTTGGAAAAACCAACCAAGCCTCAAACGGTTGCATGAGTTTTAAGGGACCCTTTGGTGGACATGGTGGGGATTCATGTCCAGCCACTTTTGGGAGACTTGTAGCCAAATGGTTGATGCCCAGCTCCGAACACTGAAGATGAACCAAGCACAAGGATCCAAGAAAAGCAATTTGTAGAGGGATCTGGGTGTGCCCTCTTTGGAACCCCTCTTTTTGGACCCTCCCCCTTTGGTTGGTTTTAAAGGGGAAGCTAAAAGAAACCACCCATTTTGGGATTCCCCGATTCTGAGACAAATCCATCTTCTTTGACTGACTCTCATCTAGGTTTCCATACCAATTTGCAGACAACTACGAGCAGATTATAGTCCACGCAATCTTCTTAGCCAGACTCTCGCCATGATTTGCCGCATGCCAATGGCGAAACGACTCAAGCCCAAACAACTTGGTCAACGGTTGGCCCTAAACCCAAGAATAATTCTTTCTGCCATCGTTTCAGTAAAGGGTGAAAACATCAGAGAAGAGCCAAAGCCAAAGAGACCTAAAAAGCCAATTCAGCCATTGGTAGCCCTTGATGGCGACCCCCAGAACCGATCCAACTAAGGGTAGTAGGGAAAGCAAATCCAGTCGCCCTATTAGAGGCATGCCAAACGTGACACAAGTTGCCAAAAGGCCCAGCCGGCACTCCGTTTTCTTGGGTTTAGTGTTGTATTTAGAACCTCCACATAAGGAGTACTACCTCATGGAGGGCAGGGGCTCCGGGCAAGTAGGCAAGTGGTGGGCGTGCATCCATTTGCCATGGTCCTGTTAACCTTCACAGCCACAGCCATATGAGGCGTGTCGGATTTTTTGGTTGGGGATACCCCCAGGGCTGCCTGTCCAACAGGAAACCCAAACCCTTGAGCCTCGGCTCCCGCGCGATGGCCGCCAACGTTCGCAGCTTGGCCAGCACCTTAAAATGTGCGACAAACAAATGCCGGGGTTGGAGAAGAACTAGGTGTTTTTTGTTTTTGGGGTCTTTTTTGCTGTGGGCGGTTGACCCCATGTTTGTTGGAAAATGAAGTTGGACCACCTCCTATTCAGGCGTTCTGCACTGGGGGTCGATTGTTTGTCCTCGAAAAGTGCCTTTCCGTTGGAAAATGGAGTTGGACACGCTAAAAGTCCTTCTTTACTCTGGGTGTCATCAGAAGAGTTTCTGTGAAGAGCTCTCAAACCCAACCCCCAAACCAAAAAAAGAAACCCACCTCCCCAAGCTGCCAACCCCCCAACCCCCAGCCTGGCTCAAAGCCGCCCATCGCTCAGAGGCCCAGCTGCGCCCCGACTGGCAGTCTTAAGGGAACCCCCCAAAACCCATGGGCTTCCCTTTGGAATTGGATCATTACCCCCCCCGCCCACCCCAAGCGAACAAAAAGCAAACTTCTGGGTTGATCTTTCGTATCGAATCATTGCCAGGGGTTCCCCCCAACCCCCCCTTTGGGGCAGAGGAAAGCAGCCGCTGCCACCCCCCCCCCCCCGGAAAAAATGCCGCCACTGGCTTTCGGACCCGGATTTAAATGTGACATGCCCAGCTGGACGTTCTGATGCCAATGTAGACTATGGAATCCATCCCAAACATGTGAAGAGATAAGTAAACACATGGCATGGCAAAAACAGTTTGTTGAAGGGTTTGTTATGAACCCCATTTGCTCTTTGCTGACAGTTGCCGCTATTTCCCTGTGCTCCAACACGCGGTCAATCACTCTCAAGCTCGTGGACTGAGCATTGAAGATTCAAGCTTCCCAGGCCTCTGGATTGAATCCTGAAATCAAAACTCCTGATCCAAACTCACGTTACAGCGCTTCAAATGTTGCTTTAGGATCTGCCAAGTTTGCGCTGATTCAAACCCGTGTAGTCCTGGAAATAGCCATCCGTCAAATCCAAACATCGCCGGTTCACCGCTCGAAGCTATTTGGCTTTGCAGACATCTGGCCCCAGCAAGTAGACTTGGCTGAAACCGGGCATGCGCAAAAACAAATATTCAAAGTCGCACAAGGGGGTGGGCTTTGGCTGGCCTTTGCCATGTGCACTATGTATAAAGATATATACATGTAAAGAGATTGTGTGCATATATGCACATATACCGTGTGCTGATGACTTTTTGCATGTGTATCTTGTGTATAGATATATATATATATATATATATATGTTTTTCTATTTATTCATTTGTTTACTTATGTATTTATAGATACTGGGCTGTCCTCAGATTCCCAAAAGATTAACTTCTACTGGTAAGAGGGGCTGGGAACCACCAAGCGGAATGCTCTGAATGCTCGAATGCTGGAAATGCTGGAAATGCTGGAAATGCTGGAAATGCTGGAAATGCTGGAAATGCTGGAAATGCTGGAAATGCTGGAAATGCTGGAAATGCTGGAAATGCTGGAAATGCTGGAAATGCTGGAAATGCTGGAAATGCTGGAAATGCTGGGAATGCTGGGAATGCTGGAAATGCTGGTAATGCGTGGACGCCGGAAATGCATGAACGCTGGGAATGCTAGAAATGCTGGGAATGCTGGTACTGGAAATGCTGGGAATGCTGGAAATGCTGGAAATGCTGGTAGGAAATGCTGGAAATGCCGGACATGCTGGACATGCTGGACATGCTGGACATGCTGGACATGCTGGACATGCTGGAAATACTGGAAATGCTGGTAATGCAGGAAATACTGGAAATGCTGGAAATGCTAGAAATGCTGGTAATGCTGGAAATGCTGGTAGGAAATGCTGGAAATGCTGGAAATGCTGGACATGCTGGATGCTGGAAAATTCAAGAAATGCTGGGATGCCGGTCTTGCTGGAATTGCTCGTAGTGCTGAAAATGAGTGGGTGCTAGAATGCGGCACAGGTGCCACGGCAACTCAAACAGATTGAATGGGGACTGAGTTGTTCCCTTGTTGGTTCTTTCCAAGAGGAAGCTGCAAAAGCAATTGAGACGGAAACAAACAGGGACCTCCAAACATATTCAGTGTGTGTGGTGATCACCTAGCTGTGTCTTCCTCCTATAGTCGTGTTGCCGCATGCTGCTGCGGTAGGTTTGTTTATTGCCTTCTTGAAAAATGTACGCGACTCCAAACAGGTAAGGGAGTAAACTCCAGAAATGCGTCTCCGCCTTTCGTGACTAGCTGGCCCTTGGAAAGAAGGGAGGTGCACCACATTTCTCACACATACAATGCTCGGCCGATTCGCCCGAACCCACTCTCTTGCCCCCTGCGTTATGAACACGAGATTATGTTGCAGCTTACCAAACCCAACACCTCCGAAATACCCCCCACGCAAAAATAACATGCTAGTTTTGCTAACAATACTCCCCCCGCTCAAAAAACAAGCTTCCTCCAGCATTCCCAAAGTCAGAACTGCCCAAACCGCCTGCTCAGGCCGCGAGAGCCTTCGGTAGGCCTCCGCCAATCCGTCCACCACGCGCGCCATGGCGGACTGACAGCGGGGGCGGTGGACACTTAGTGTCCATTTGGGATGGGTCTAGTCCTTTCCATTTACCAGCGGTTCTATTTTTGGTACCTATTTTTGACCCACACCCACTGAGGCATTGTTTAGCGGTGCTGCAGGGGGGGAGCCTGGGTTGCCTGCATACAATGTATGACCAGTTTGGGTATGCCATCTTAGGTTCTGACAGGGTGACAAAGATCATTGGATCTCCGTTTTAGTAGGTCCCAAAAGGGGAATTGAAGGACCCCTGCCGAACATTGTGGTGTTTTGGTGCCCTCAAAACGGCATGAAGAAAAAAAGAGTTGCAACCCGCCATGTTCTTTTTCAGTCCCACAAAATGAAAACACACGGGTGTGTCTTTTTGCTGAGGGTGGCTTTTTTTGTAGTCTAAAAAAAAAGAAGGAAAACCACCATTTTGGAGGGTCCCCTCAAAAAAGACACCCCACCAACTGGGTGTCTTCTTCGAGGCCCCCCGGGGGTCAAAGTTTAGGGGAGGTCTTTTTTGGACTCCTCTCCGCTCTGGACACAACCCGCCTCATCCACCGACGGCCTCAGATCGGGCCGGACGGATCCGATCCGTCGGGGGTGGGTGAAAGATGTGGTGTCTCAAAGTGTGGTCGCAAAAAAAGATGTGGTGTTTTTGGTTTCCCCCTCAAAAAAGAGTGGCTTCCCTTCGGTCCCTTCAAAGCAAACCGAGGGTACCGAGCCTCGAGAAAGACTCACCCGCAACTATCACGCCCGCGCTGCTGGTCGACTACCAGGGGAGGCGGGGCGAAAGGGGTGTCGGGGAGCGTTTTTCAGGGACAGCTGTGTGGCAGTACTGATGTGGCCGGTGCGCAGGGAGGAAAAAAGACAAGCCCCCTCCCCCCTTGGCCCCTACAATGAAGTCTTGTTGCCTGCCCCCTTGAAAAACACATTCCCAAGTGGAATTACCTCTTAGCTAGTTGAATAATTAGACAGCCCAGGTGATCTTGGTGATGCTTCAGGCTTTGTTTGTCAGAGTTGGGCATCCAAAATGTTGAGTTTCATCCAAACTCACGTTTTCCTAAATGTCTCTCGTTGACCAGTGCCCACAATCAAACCCACAAAAGGGGGCAGGTAGTACTTAGAGTCTTGGTGCCCGGGCCCCTCATTAAAATCTCAAAAGGAAGCTCCAGCAAGACTAAATCAAATAGAAACTCAAATCCAGCAATACCCAATCAAACGGAAACTCAAACCCAGCAATACTAAGTCAAAAAAAAGGTAAATCTCAAAAGGAAGCTCCAGGCAATACTAGAACTGAAAACTGGCCCCAGCAATACTTGGGCCAGGGAACTTTATTCTGGGACCCTCCTTTGTTGGTCCCAGGTCGCTATTAAGTGCGTCTTTTGAGCGGCTCTCGTGCAATCCGGGGAGGGACCTGCAATTGTGCAGGAGTGAAAACGCCATAGCAACACTCCCTGCCAAACAAGAAAAACTCAAGGTAAAACAAAAGCTGTGCCAAAAAAAACAACAACAAAAATGACACATGTGCCCGGGTGGTATCCCCAAACTCAGCCCCAAACCCCCTGGGCTGCTCCCAACCAGAGCTTCTCTGGGCCTATCAACCCCAACTCTTTCAAAGTCCCGTAAAAAAAGACGAGCCACGCAGAAGACCTTGGACAGTCTGTGTGTAGTTTCAATGGAAACTGCCAAAAGTTGATCTCGGGGGAATCCCAGTGACCCCTGTCCCTGGCCACAAAACCCGAGAAAATGCCCGCGGTTGGACCTTCCCCGCCATCCACCCCCCCTCCCATGTGGCGCACCCGGCAACCGCGCTGGGGCCTGCGAGTGGGGCGGCTCTATGGGATTGTGGAAATGGCGGGAAATGGCGGGGAAACTGTGGCAGTTTCTGGTCAATATGCTCAGTTCTTCTTAAATCATCCCGCCACAACATGATGGCGAAGGTTGATTGCTTATATCGACCCTCCCCCCTCTCCCCCACGGCCCCCCCTCTGCCCCGGCTTGACCGTATCCCAGAATGATTCGCCACGACTCGCGTCGACGAACCCGCAAGCGACATCAACGCCAACCCTGCAAAAAGAATTCCGCGGTAGCTGAAGGCAATGTTGTTCACAATTGTTTGGCTCAAGCTGCAGTTGGCAGATCATGTTCACACAAACCCCTGGCCTTATCCAAAAGCGTGTCTTCTTGAGTATTGCCACTTGACTACAGCAACAATCCCTTGGGCCCAAGCTCTACTACTCCGCCGGCATGAGTATATGTAGGCACATTGTTGAAAGAAGATGCCATTCGCGGATCTATGCGCTTGTGGTTCGACTACTTATTGGATTAAGCCTCCGTCCACAGCAGATTTTTGGTGTGAAAGGCAAACCAACACATGTCTTATGTCAAATCACCAACCCGAATTGAGTCTGGCCATGGTAGTAAAATGGTGCCCCAAATCCATGTCAGGAGATTCAAGGGCGGCCGCATCTATTTCTCGCAGGGACTGCCCCTTGCGGACCTTTATCTACTCGTGTTTGATTGTGGCTCAATTAAACGTCCCGGAACAAAGAAAACAATCCTCACTCAGCGTGATTTGGAAAACCCACACAAAAACCACCCGAACAGGGAAATCACTATATCACCAAAAGCAAACCAGACATTCTGGCAAATCTCTATCTCTCTCTCACTCTCTCTCGCTCTCTCTCTCTCTCTCTCTCTCTCTCTCTGGCGTTCAGCGGTCCGCGTAATATTTACACGGAACTAAAAGGAAAACCACCATTTGGGTGGCTCGTCTTTTTTGAGTGTACCCATGTGGTTTTAAAGGAAAACCAAAAGAACAAACCACAATTTTATGGACACGCTTTGGGAAACGGACTGATTCCTACAGCCCCGACCGGTCCCATGCGCCTGCATCCTCGCGCTGCCTCTCCCTCCGAACTGAAGCCCGAGCCACCTTGGCCTCGGAGGAAAAGGAGAACAAAGTTGGGGGGGGCAGGATGCACCTGAAAATCACCTAGAAACCCTTTGCAGGTCAAGTTGATGATTTCGCTGAATGAGTCCTTCAGAAACTTTCGGACTCCCAGTCTCAGAAGTCGAGAATCCGGGGAAAGGGAACGAACAAGGGGTGTGTACTACAGTGGATGCCAACAAAGCATTGAATGTAGTTGAGAACAAGGGGAAACCCTTGTTGGTCTTGCCGTAGCTTGCCTGGCTTTGGCTGATAGATATGGGCCAAAAGAAGTGGAAGAAAGGGGCCCACTGGGCAACTGAGGTGCATGCCTTGCAATAAACATCTATGAAAGTGAGAAAAGCTCGACATGATTCGAACGCGTGTGCTCTCCCTTCTGTTGTTTCTGTGTACTCCCTTGAATTGTGCCCGGCAATCTGTGTACTTCAACAGACAATATTCATTGTGTCCCCAACTGACATGGAATTGTGGTGAGCAACTCCCATTGTCCAATGGTATTTTGATGAGCATGCCTCATGTCCTCCCATTTGCTACCATCGCAGTGACCATTGGGTGACTCTGGGGGTTGTCCTGAGGCCGCACTGCGCACCAGCCCTCCCCCTCCCGGCCGTGAGGGCGGCCCGAGCCCGCCTGCGATGCGCGCCACTTCCTCACCGCCTCCTCACATCTGACCTTAGGACTGCCAAGACATGACCCCAGGGTGCTTCATTGGAGATGCACCAACCCAAGCCTGGGATTTTGGCAGACCAAAAACCAGACCTGATGCAAGCAGAACAGATCTCCGGACTCTTTTTAGGGCTGCAATCTCCCGGTGAGCGCCTCGCTCCAAGTTCATGGGCCCTTGGTGATACTTGAGCCGACATCTGACCAAAACCCTGCGGCTAGGAGTAAAGCCCCCGAATCCTCAGCGAAACTCGCCGATTCAAAAAAATGGGCGCAGAGCGGTAATCCCAGATTTGGGGCCTTCACCATACATCCCGCCAGCGAAACCCGCTGGCCCTATTTCAGGGAACCCTTAGTTGGCGGTTTGGACCAGGCACCCCGCCTCTCCCACGTAGACCAACTGCACCATCTCCTGGCAATCAACTGGCAATCAATGAGAAGCTCAAAACACAGGCTGGGCTTTCAAACCTGCTGGGGTTCAGCAAATATCATGAACCCTATCATCCACCTCCCAGCCCAAACATCCGCTTGGCAACCATTGATCATGTGGAAATTGTAGCCCAGACACGGGCAAACCGAAGCAAAGGGAAAAAAGCAATGGAAACGGGCGAGCACCGGCGGGTCTTTCATAGAATTCCAACAGCCCCCATCCCAAAAAGACACTAGCTTGCGTCCTTAAGACCTTATATTCTTGGGGGGGGGGGGGGCTAGGTGGGTTTTGGTGAGGTTTGGATCTTTGCACGTTGGATCCTAAATTGGGAATCCTGCATGATTCAAAGTGTCCTGAATGTCTTTATCTGGTGGGTATTTCTCAAGATTAGGGACCTTCAGGTGGTTGCTGTCCTGTTGAAACCAACCAAAAGGGGGCACTCCATTTTGAGACACACTCGTATGCACATTGCCCACTTCTGTGATATCAATGGAAGGCCTTCCAAATGATGTTTTGTCTATTTGAAGAGCAGGTTGTCACAGTACGGTGAGAACAACCAACAACCCAAAGGTTGTCTGCTGGGAACACCCCCTAAGCCTCACCCGGGTGGGAACCCACCCGTCTTTTGAGAAGTCCAACATCTCTGGAGATGTATTCTGCCTCTTGCGTAAGTCCCCCAGCGAAAAAAAATATGAATGAATATATTTGCAACAGCGATGGACTTCAAAACCAGGGGAATATAATTAAATGGAAAAAATATCACTGATCCCGTTTGAAACCAAAACACAAATATTGATTTCAGCAAATCCGGACGTACTTTTGGAGGCCTTGACTGACCCCCGCCCCCCGCACGCCGCAGGCCTTCTTCTCTTGCCTTCGCCGCTCCGCCATGGACTTCGCCATCCATCGGCCGAGCCGAAGGCCGAGCCGAAGGCCCGCTCCGCAGCCCCAAAATAGAGCCCTTGGGCCAACGGCTCCGCGTTTTTTCCCTTTTGTAAAAAAAAAAAAAAGAAGAAGACGTCGCGCCATGTTGCTTGTCGTTGATTTTTGTTTATCTCTCGCCAGGTGTCGACAGAGAATGTTGTTCAACGTACCTGGTCAATACTCTCAAGAAAGGGTGACTCATCGGTTCCCAATTGGGCGGCCACCAAACGGCTTGCTATGGCAATACATCCAGGTGGATTCACCAGCATCCGGATTGGGAGACCCAACTTTGCATGGTGTAAGGGGGGGTTATAGCAAAGGAAAATAACAATGTGAGGAAATACCCATGGCATGTTGCTGTTAATTGAGAAACCTGCCAGTGAAAACAGCCGCTGTTCCATCAAAAATGATGTCGCTGCCCAAGGAAGGGCTTGACATGGACAGCTGCCCCGGCTGCCAACCACCGCTCCAACGCCTTTCTGCAACTTGCGATTTTCGCGTTGGTGAAACTTTTGCTCCGCCGGATGGCCCAATGAACCGCATTACGGTCCAAGCAGTCTTCATGAACATCCAAGTGCTCCAACCTCTGCCGGGGTTGTCACTCGCTTGCTCATGTGGAGTTGCTGCAGGTATCGTATCTGCATTTTGAGGCCTGGTGGTTTGATAGTGCTCCCCTCCCTCCTGGGATTGATTAGCATCAGGGTTCCTGAATTGCAACAGCCCACACTCACCTGTTGCAAAGCGGGGTCCTAAGCTGGATGACCATCTTCACCGTGGCCTTCAAAGAGAAACGGAATGGAAACCAATCCTTTTTGCGGCACCAAACATGTTTCTTCCAGCAACGTCGAAAAAACATCAGCAAGGCGTACCTGGAGAAAACGAGAATCACTCTTCGGGGAAATAGTCAAACGTGTCTGTCCAAACAGGCAGTCTAAAGAACAACCTGGGCAAATTCGGGCAAATGATAATAATTCACCAACTGTTTGTTCCTCCTTACTGCCAAGTAGTGTCTGATGGCTGCGCTTGCCGGGTGCCTCCATCCCAGGAAGCAGCACAGGTTTCCTCGTCGCAATATCTGCTTTCGCTCACCAACTGAAAATACGAATTGGACCCCGAAGACAGGCACCTTCACTTTGGTTGACGTCCCAACCCAAACGTGACGTCGCTGCTTCTCTGCAGCCATCCGGCCAGACGCGGCGACGCGGTGAAACCTCCCAGGCGCTCAAAGAAGCTTCAGCTTTTCGCCCGAGCTCGGAATGGTCTGAACCTGTGGACGAGAAATCATGAGTTGGTTCAACCCGGAGATGGGCGTGTCATTTCGCGGGGGGCGGGGGGAGGGGGGGGAGGTTCGGGATGGTGTTTTGCAACCACATTCCCTAATGAGCACCGCCAAGATGATCTTATGATCCTGACTTTGATTTGTGTGCGTGGCTTCTTTTCAGGCTCAGTATTATTGTTGGATAGTTTTAAAGGGATACCAAAAAGAAACGAACCATTGGTGGGGCTTCCCTATAAACTCGTTTGAAGGTACCCCGCAATTCTATTTTCATTTTTTCTGGCCCTTATGGTTCCCCCCCCCAAAAAAAACGCTCAGGTCAGGTGATATCCCCAACAGCATGCGGTGCTCCACCCCGCAGCCCTTGCAGAACCTCGTGGAACCCTCGTGGAACCCTGGTGGAACCCCGGTGGAACCTTACCTCGAAGCCGCCCCGGAAGCCTATCTGGGCTGAGACCCCAAAGCTTTCAGCTGTTGGGGAAAAATGGAACCAGAGAACCTGAGCTTATCAGCATGGGCGTCTTGTCGGGTGGGGGGGGGAGGGAATGAACCCAGGGGTCCCCTTAAAGAAACCACGATGGATGGTTTAAGGGCCATTCCCTCATTCCCTGCCGAGCACCAGCAAGTAATATGTGTGTGTGCGTGTGCAATTCGGCCCCTGACCTCACCCCGGTGGCTCAACCACGATACCCTCCGAGTTCCGGCAGGCATTGAGTGGCGTGTCCTGCTTGAGTTGGAATCATGTTGGGCTTGCTTCAGGGAACCAAAGGTTACCACTGTACCCATCGCCTTTAACATTCACCACTGGATCATGCATAGTGACTCAACTCAGAAATGCCACCAGGGCCATAAGTCCAAAAGGGTCATGATGAGGGTCTTGCAAAATACTACGTATATACTAGCCGCGAACGCGTGCTAAAAATCGCCTGCAGTTGCAAAACATGGACAGACAGACAGACAGAGACAGAGACAGAGACAGAGACAGAGACAGAGACAGAGACAGAGACAGAGACAGAGACAGAGACAGAGACAGAGACAGAGAGCAGGCAGGCAGGCAGGCAGGCAGGCAGGCAGGCAGGCAGGCAGGCAGGCAGGCAGGCAGGCAGGCAGGCAGGCAGGCAGGCAGGCAGGCAGGCAGGCAGGCAGGCAGGCAGGCAGGCAGGCAGGCAGGCAGGCAGGCAGGCAGGCAGGCAGGCAGGCAGGCAGGCAGGCAGGCAGGCAGGCAGGCAGGCAGGCAGGCAGGCAGGCAGGCAGGCAGGCAGGCAGGCAGGCAGGCAGGCAGGCAGGCAGGCAGGCAGGCAGGCAGGCAGGCAGGCAGGCAGGCAGGCAGGCAGGCAGGCAGGCAGGCAGGCAGGCAGGCAGGCAGGCAGGCAGGCAGGCAGGCAGGCAGGCAGGCAGGCAGGCAGGCAGGCAGGCAGGCAGGCAGGCAGGCAGGCAGGCAGGCAGGCAGGCAGGCAGGCAGGCAGGCAGGCAGGCAGGCAGGCAGGCAGGCAGGCAGGCAGGCAGGCAGGCAGGCAGGCAGGCAAAGAAAGAAACAACAGAAACCAGAATAACAATCCAACACAATATGACAAACCTTGAACCACCCTGAGCCTATGAAAAGCAACAGTCGGAAACCTCTGAACCCCCTAAACAGGAGGGGCGCATATGCTCCTTCAACTTGGTGTGCCATTTATTGCGTTTTGGGTGGTTTAGAAATGACACAGGAATAACCCAAATCATGTTTGGGCTTCCATATCCTTTTCAGAGACCAACTGTCTTTCTTTGAGGGTCAAGAGAAACTAAAAGGAACATCCACTCATTTTTGAGGTGGGCCTTTGTTTGAACAAGTTGTGCCCAGTCCTGAGATGGTTTTACTCGCCTTTTCTGTGATAAGCCTTTTAAACTGAAGTAATGTGGATACTAATCAACCCCAGTTTGTCAATAGGGGGTGTTCCGCGCCAGAAGTGATTCCCCACTAGACCCAGGAACATCCCCATATTAATAAACTGGGGTTGATTCATATGGAATCACCAAAATGAGTCCCTTGGGTCATTCGCAGGTGAAAGGCTATGCGCCGTCGCTTCGCCTTCACAACGCTGGCATGGACTTGGAGTTGCGGCCATTCGAGGACTCGGCGCAGGCTGGCCGAAGGCAAAAGAACATGAGTCATAAGAATATTCAGCGGATGTCCGACAGTGACATTGAAGCCACACATTTCCTCATGACTTTGGTCTCTTACAGAAAATGATTGTGAATATAGACCGTTTGCTCACATGGGAACCAGGAGTGGTTTTCATGCAGGAACCATTGGGTGGGAGTTCTTGTTGGGGGCTCCAAAGTATCCTCGCAAGTTGATGCATGGGTGAGCGCACACACCCGAATCGGTGAATCGGTAAGCTGGTGATAGTTGGTTCCGGACAGGGCGTGGGAATGCCACCAAACCCTTTGCTTGGCTTAAAACTGAAACAAGAAGCAGTACAGTGAAAATGAGAGAGCGCCCCAGGGACATGCCAAATTCTGGTCAACCCATGGGCTCCCGGGAATGAACCAGTCCGATTCCAACCGGTGTTGATGAGCTGCAGCCTAAGGGCGACTTGGATCTGGCTACATCTGCAGTGCTCCGAAAACCCGTTCGCACCGATAGAAATGCAAGGAAAAGGAAAACCAAGCCAGTGGTTCCAACTACGGTGGTTTGGCCATCTTTCAGCCAAAAAGTCACCCCACTTGGGTGTAGAGAAACCTTCATAGGGTTTTGGTCGCAGCCCCTCTTCGTATAGTCGCTATTCGGTCCGCTTGCAGGGCGTTGACCCGCAGTCAAACTGCTCTACTCAGCCAGAAAGCCGGACCCAGTAACCCAGTCGTTGTTGGGTGTTTCCGAAGGTTGGCACGGGCCAAAAGTTCGAGTCGGGACGGATTCAAAGCGAAGGGACCCGCCAATTGCAGGTTGCTTTGAAGTGCCTGGAACAAAAACGTCGGTGCATCATGTATTCATTGCGCGCAAATTGCAAAGTCTTCCAGAAGCTGAGAAGGTTTCCCTGGGTTCAAGATCAAATGGGTGTGTGTTTGTTGAGGCTTGGTAGCCGTAGGGGTGGTTTTGAAGGGAAACCAAAAGCAAAACCACCATTTTTGGGCTGTTCCCAGATCCCCTGCCAAAAGCTTAACTTTAGTTTACTGAAAACTACCACTAAACCAACTAAAAAACTAAACACCTTTCTGGGGATGGCTGGGAACCACCCAGATTTGTGTGGTCCCTCTATTTTGGCACTTCCCCATTTGTAAGTTGCGCCCCGAACTCAACGCCCGAAGTGACCGCCTGAGGTGCCCCGCCGGAGTGTCTGGAAGACCCAGCCCGATGGGCTTGTTTCCTGGGCCCCTCCCCACAGAACCTCCACCCCCCCCCCCCCCCCCGAGTCACCTCCGTTCCCTACGGCACCTAACAGTTCCATCTGATTTTTGAGGATATGCAGGATATTGATCGTTCAGGTCGGGTGTTACGAAGTGCAGCTCAAACGAGTCCTCTTATGAAAGCGTGCGCCGAGCCGAGACCCTACGGACAAAAGCTGCTTGAAGCAAACAAACTGTTCCTGAAGGTCTGGGTCTAAAGCTAGCGGCAAAAGAGAACCTCCACAAGGTCTGGCCCAAGGTTTGATTTGGCACTCGTTTCCCGAAAGCTCTGTGCACCTTGGAAACAACAGCAAATCGATCTATACAAACGAATGGCAAAGAACTTGCTCATGGCAGCCAAAACGCCTGCACATCACATACAGCCTTCCATCATTGATGGGTGCCTGAGA